CTGCTGGCGGCGCCGCCCGGCCTGGAGGACTTGCAGGTGAGGCCGGAATTGTCCAAGATGGGCCAGATGGAGGGTCCTGGCTGGAGGGAAGGTGCCGAAAACGGGAAACCAACTTTCCCCTCAGCCTGCCGCTTCTCACCCATGACTCCTAGGATGCGTCCGGGTCCTGGCTTAGACGCTGCCTGGCCTTACGGCGGCGGGGACTGAGCCTCTTCGCCGTGCCTGGGTGGCAGCAACCCTCCGCCGAGTAAATGGGAAGGGGCTGAGCCACTTCTCTCCCTCTCGGCTGGGCCACGTAGGGCATCTATGCCGAGTCGGGTCCGCTGAGGCAGCCTGAGCCTGAAGCGAAGAGAGGCAGAGATTCAAAATTCCCTTACGGCACGCACGGCACGGTGAGGTACCCAGGGCCCAGATCGGCCGCACAGATGGTGCCGAGCCTCGGCGAATCCTGGCCCCACCCCAGGCGACCCGACCGTAGTGCACATTGTTGGCCGGAGCAGACCGGACAGAGACCAAGGGACAGCGGGGGCTTGGGAAGCGAAAGGACACTAGGTCCACACGCACTCTTACCCCCGCCTCTCCTATTTGCAGGCCATGGATGATTCGGGAGTGAGCCTCCTGGACCAGTCTGTGATCAAGAAAGGTAAGGAATGGCGTGCACCTGCCAGGGCAGAATCGGGCGAGATGGTGCAGGCCCTGGGCGCACAGACCCATTTTCTTCCCCTTGGAGCTGCCTCCTGTGCCTCACCGCCCCGCTTGGTGGCCACGGGGCACTCCTCGGCCCAGTAGAGGGGCAGTGGAGGCGGAGGGGGGCCGGGGTGGAGGGCTGGCCAGAGCTTGGGCAACTGCGCAGGTGGGTGAGTTGGCCCTAGAGCCTGCGGCCTGGGGTGAGCGGAGCCCATCAGCGCTCACCCAACTTGCCCGCCACTCCAGCCTCACAGGGGCCTGGCCTCTCCCTACGGAGGGGAGGGCGCTTTTGCGGATCTGGAGTTAATTTGCAGAACGAGTTAAACCACTTCCCTGTTTCCTTAGAGGTGAGAATGGAGGTGCTGTTCCCACCTTACAGAGCCTTACCACTTGCTAGCCTGGCAAGGGCTTTCTGCCCCCTTCCTTCCCTGCAGGGTCTTGGAGGGTGATGGGGAGTTGCGGGGAGGGGAGCGGTGGTAAATCTTGCGTTTCCCTGGGGAATTTTCTCTCCAAGCGGGAGCCTTTTTGGCATTAAGGTTAGGGGAGCTGGTGTGTGCACTAGGGGGAGGGCCTGCCTGCTCCTGGGTGTCAGCGTGAGTTCAGGTCCTGTATGTCCCTTTCCTAGGCGTCTTTCTGGTATTTCTTGGTATATGTGTTTCTGTTGTTGAGTGTGTGGTGCATTTCTCTCATGTTGGTGTACATTTCCGTGTGTTTGGGGGTTTCTATATGTGTATCAGGGTCTCCATTGTGTCCTGGAATTTGATCTTTAGTACTGAAGATCTCTAAGCTTGTGAGGGTCACTTCTGTGCTGGGGGGGGGGGGGGAAAAGAAAAAGACAGGGGTTTGAGACTTGCCCTCAAGTGGGTCTCTAGGCCTTGGGTGGGCCCTTTAGATTTGGGGCTGGTGTGGGGCAAGAATCCAGAGGCTCAGACAAATCTGAGGTGGTGAATTCAAGCACCGGCTCTGTTTGCCCTCCACCTGTTCCCAGCAGAGGCTGGGGGTGGAGGTGGAAGTGGAGGTGGGGGGTGGGGGATGGACTTCGAGGAGCTAGGACTGCGTTACCAGGGACTGAGAATTAGTTGGACTGCCTGAAGTGTGTGTGGGCAAGCTGAGGGGACAGACCTCCTGGTTTTGGGGCTGTGACCTGGAGCTGGGGTTTGGGAGGATTCTGGGAACCTGGCTGCCTGAATTCGGGACCTAGTTCTTTGGGGCGGGCACTGCGATGGCTTTGTTTTTTTGTTTGTTTTGTTTTGTTTTTTTTAAGCCCTTGGAAGGAAAAGCTCTGTCAACCCAGAGATATGATCATGGTCTTGGTGTCCAGTGCCATGGCTGAGGGGTTGGGAGACCTAAGGTGGTGGTGGGGGGGGAGACTAGCCCCCTGCATTTGGGGAACAGGCTTGGGGACCTCTGCTTTGGGAAGAGTAGAAAATCAGCCCGTTCTCTGGGTACTTTAAACCCCAATCCCCAGACCAGAGCAAGGGTGGGAGGACTGGCTGTGAGGAGGGAGTTGGTTTCTCTCAAGGAACATCAGTTTCCATAAATCCCGGGCCCAAGGTGTGTGCCGGTCCCCAAAGGCGGTCCCAAGAACACGGTGAGTGTGGCCAGGACTGCCCAGAGTCCTGCTGTGCTGGCTGGGGGCAGTGGGTGGGGTGG